GTCTCACACACAGAACATCTATCAAATTTTCCAGACTCAGTGTTTGATGTGGAAAAGAAGCAAAACACTTGGGCTTGTCCTTTCTTGTTAGCATTTGTTTGCATGCAGTGTGTGATCCACATGGGCAGCCTCAGAAAGCAGGTGTCTGCTGAGCTGCAGTCGCTCACTCTAGGCTGTCACACGTGTGTTGATACCGAGATTTCCGGCATCTTTAAGTTGGACAGAAGACAGCAAGCACATAATCAGTGGATATTGGAGGGAGACAAAGGTAGCTGGATGATATTGCTAAGCATCCAGCTCATACTGATTCAGCTGATGATGATCAGACCAAAGCCTCTGAACTGTGGAGAGAAGTGGTGGATGAAGCCCTATGTGTTGGGTCTTTCCCTGAGATTAGAGAGTAAGGATAATCATGCCCCTCTGCTTCTACCAAAAAGTAGAGCTGCTTTAATGATCATAGAACTTCCCACAGAGAGCAGAGTGGAGAACATTTTATTAGGGCTGTAAAAATTACTGATTTTTAGGATTAGGAAGGGTGGGCAGTTAGAGACATCTTGGTTTCCAGCTACGTTTTTAAGATGCAGCTGAAGGCCACAGAAATTGTGTGCCCATTCCCTTCCATATTCACTGGGGTCCCAGAAGATTTGCAGGATAGAAAGCAGAGGCTTGTTAAGGTTGCAAGATGTCAGAAATGTTTACTGTGAAGGATGGCAAAGGAAGCTGGATTTTCCAAGGTGCTAAAGGGTATGTTTATACCCAGTACCCAGCTCTATTGCTGAGGGTTTAACTGCACAATTTGCTGTCTGTTTGAGGCTATTTTTGCCCCGTAGCTGGAGTGGGCTACTGAAACAGGCAGACAATAAGAGTAAAAAGGCTATTGACCTGGTGCAATATGGGAGATGTTGTGTTTCTTGCTAAGTACTGCAAAAAGGAAAAAAGGGATTTAAAAAAAACAGGGAAAGAATAAAAACCCTGCTGAGCATGCTGCATTCCTTAAACCCCTGATTTCAGTTTAAAGTGGTTTCACCTTTTCTCTGTGCCCCTTCTTACCATGGATTCACAGCACTCCCGCTCCTTGAAGGTTCATTGAAACTAATTTCTGATGTTTAGAAGTGGCATATGGTACACACACTAAGGACCTGGCTGTACCTAGCAGGTGGGCAGAGTTTTCAAGGTCCACTGTGTGTTGAGCCTATAGAAAAAAATGAACTAGTAAGGGACCACCCCACCATTCAAATGCTGTGGTTGTGCATGCCCAATTAAGCTGTGAGCATGTGGGGAGAAAACTTTGATTAAATTCTGGGCCCAGACAACCGTTCATGCAGTGGCCTGACTGAATGTATCTTTTCCCTAGGAATAAAGACTTAAGGAGGTCACAGGGGAAAAAAAAAACCAAAACAAAACTTGAATGTATTAAATTCCTGTAGCCATTTAGAGCTCCTGCAGACACATCTCATCACCTGCCTTTTGATTGGGAGTGTTGTGTTCCCCCCAGCAAGCAGAGAGAAATCACATCATCCAGCCTGGGACTGGTCATACCAGGTAGATGAGATTTTGATCAGGGTCAGAGCTGAATGCATTGACTTAAGGAGGCTTGTGAAAAAGGACAAAATCGACAAGTTAATGCCAATGGTGAAAGCCCATGGTGAGCCTCAGCATATTCATAGGCATTCACAAGCAAAAGGCTTATTTGTCAAGTAAATGTTTCTCTGGATAGGTGAGCTATAGGGAGAGAAATGGGCCCATTCAGTGTTAGTGCAAAAAGGCAGCTCCAGCTGAGCTGCCATGGGAATTATGTTGTTCTCACAGCCAGGGTTGTTGCTGTGGATTGCTGTAGATCATATATGAAGTGATGGATGGGAAATATGACAGTGCCTTGGCACCCCTGGGCCAGGGATACTGGCACTGGGAGATGCTGTCTCTTGCCCAGGTTGGTTTCCTTTTGGATACATTTTATGCCCTGGAGGGAGTGGGCCTGGCCTGTGCATGCAGCAGCGGTCATACGGAGTCTGCTGGTGCTTTGTGATCCCTCTGTGCAAGTTGTGAGTCTGTTGTGTGGCTGTAACATGTTCCCCCGCAGATCTGCTGTAGAGGTGCCATGCTGCTGGGGCAGAAAAGTGTCGTTCCAAAACTTGGAAATGAATTCCTGGTGTGGACTGGCATAATTATGGACTCTGCTGCTGTCGTTCCCACCTCCCGTGTCAGAGGCAGGGATGCAGTCTCCAGCAGTTGCCAGGCCTCCTCTGTAGTCAGTGGGGAGAGGGAGACATGTCTTCAGGGATGGATTCGTCTCCTTTTAAGACAAGTGTCTTAAGACAGGATGGAATGAATCACTCTTTGAAAATCATCTTTGATTTCTCTGAAGGTCTAGGAAGCCTTTTCTGTTTCTTTGGTCTAGAGTCCAGCTTTAAAATTGCTCCAGCTGAGTCCTCTGGTCCAGGACTAGAGTCCAAATCCTCAGAGGCACCCCAGAACATTTCTCCATTCCCTCTGTTCATGCAGATGTCACTGGCAGGTTACCCACAAGGAGAAGGTACTGTCAACACGTCAGCTTCTGAGAAAAGTCAGGGCTGGTTTTGATTTAAAGAGTTTAAGGGTAATTTTAACATTGTGAACCTGAGCTAGTCCACATAGCCAGGCCCTTTCTCTGCCATGTGAGCTTCTGGCTATGAGCTCATGTGGCTCTATGCTGGACTGCACCAGCACAGATGGCAGTGTGTGGCCATCACACCGTGTCCTTTACTGTAATATGTCTACTCCCATGCCTTCCTGCAGCTAGCAGATTGGGCCCCCAAGGACTTATGTTCAGTAGCCCTAGAAAGTGTCAGCTCTTGGAGCCATGCTCCTTAAAAATGGCTGTGTCCTGCCTTTTCCCAGACTGTCAGAGAAAAGATTCTCATCTGGAAAGCCTGGACTCAGGTGGTGCCACTTACCCCCTCTTGGAGAGGTTCTGGCATGTCTGGGAGGCAGGTATGTCCTTTCTATTATCTGGCAGTTCCCATAAATATTTTTTCCTATAGCCTTGATTCTGGTCTAGCCCCTTCAACTGGGCGTGTTGGAGATCAATCCCATGTTACAATGATAGCACAAGAACTGGTCTTTGCTTGCGATGATAGAATAGGTTCTGATACAGAAAATAAAGATGACTATTTCAAGTCACATTAAAGGTCTCTCCTGCCTAGTGTCATGTCCCCAAGAGGACAAGAACAAGGTGAGCCCACAGTAATGCCTCCCTGGTTGCCCGGCTCCAACAATCTGTGGCTGGGGGCAGCCTGAGCCAGAAGCAGTGCTTTTGGATTTGATGGGTGCTCCTTCCACTCACCCTTTCCTGAGCCCCTGTTAGCATCCACAGCAGCACATCATCTGTTGTATGGAGAAGTACTGAGTTTGTTTCTAGCTGTTGCATGTTAACTGCCACTTAATAGCTCGTGCTTATAGAAAATAAGGGCTAGCTGATCCCTTTTCACCTACTGATGTTTCTTTTCCCTGTGCAGCTCTACCTATTATAAATCCAAATTTACACACACATATATGTGTGTGTATATATACATGCATATTCAATTTAATTTCTAGCTTCTAGGTGGGAAGAGTTGAACGTATTTGAAAACCAATTTTAATTTTCACTATGGTGCTAAGTAGTGTGCTGGGTTTGGCTGGTTAATTTTCTTCATAGTAGCGAGTATGAGGCTATGTTTTGGATTTATGCTGAGAATAATGTTAATAACACACTGATGTTTTAGTTGTTGCCAAGCAGTGCTTAAACTATGCCAAGGACTTTTTCAGCTTCTCATACTGCACCTGCCCTCCCAGCTTCTTCTCCACAAGAAGCTGGGAGGGGACACAGCTGGGACAGCTGACCCCAACTAACCAAAGGATATTCCATACCATATAACATCATGCTCAGCATATAAAGCTACAGGAAGAAGAAGAAAGGTGAGGACGTTTGAAGTAATGGTGTTTGTCTTCCCAAGTAATTGTTAGGTGTGATGGAGCCCAGCTTTCCTGGGGATGGCTGAACACCTGCCTGCCACCAGGAAGTAGTGAGTTAATTCATTTTGCTTTCTTTGTGCGCAGCTTATCTCATCCCACGAGTTTTCTCACTTTTACTGTTACAATTCTCTCCCCCATCCCACTGAGGAGAGGAGTGAGGGAGCAGCTGCGTGGGGCTTCTTGCTGGATGGTGTTAAACCATGACAGCAGAGATAGTTCCAGGTTTGAAGTTTGCTGTGAAAGGACTTTAAATATTTTTATCGGTGGTAGAACTGCCTGAATTGGTAGTTTTTCTCTCTCTGAATCCTTTGATGTGCTGTACCATAGAGTCCAACCCCACCTGGATCAGGTTGTCTGCAAGTAGGCATGATAGAGTGGACTCTGTGTTTGGGGAACTTTGGTTTTTGGGGGGATTTCAGTGACAATGAAAGGTGCTGTGCTGACAGATACTGAAATTAAATCTTTCTAGTTAGCCACAAAATATGTCCAGCATGGGAAGTACAGATTTCTTCATCCGTCTCCCAAGAGGAACTGGAGATTGAATTCTCCTGCTCATTCAATCCTTGTTACTTCTGAGCTGGACTTTCACACAGGTGGTAATGAGCTTTTTAGTTTTAATCCTGAGGTTGACTGGTCCACTTGGAACTTGGCTGAAACTGTGATTGCATTTCATACAAAACCCCAAAGTGTCATCACATGAAAATGCTTTGGGACTATTGCCAGCCCTGGCTGAATTTGAACTGATGACCCACCCTCCACATTATACTCCCGGTACCATCCATCATGTAAGTCTGATGTTGAAATCTGGCATTTACAGAGGTACCTTGGTACTAAATGTGCTTCCAAAGTTCTGTGTTTTGCCTCTGGGTTTCACTCGTTCAAAATATCAGCATGTTCTCTGCTCCCTCTGGATGTGGGTCAGGATGGACTTGCTTAACAGACAGTTAGAAAAGAGACTGCATGACTTTTAGCTAAACCATTCTGTTTTGTTTCCTTTTCTTTCTTAACAGGATCCAACAGCTGCATCTATTTCGGACAGAGATTGTGATACGAGGGAGGGAGAGACTGTAGCCATGAACTATAAGCCGTCCCCGCTTCAAGTGAAATTAGGTGAGTCTTTGCTGATGGAGAGTGAAAGGCTGAATCCAAGGTCTGAAATATGGTGCTGTGCTCATGGTATCATTTGCAATCTCCATGCCTGTGGCTGAGCATGCCACCTTGGCTCAGAGCAATTTTATCATTGTGATTCTGCTGCTGAGGGAACTGGCCTACAAACATGTAAGGAACCTGTATGTGGATGTGGTAGAGGAAGGCAGCTATGCCTTGAAAGGAAGGCATGGCTCTTTAAGCCTACAGATTTTTATCAAGCTAAAATCAAGGTTTGTCCAGATAAAGGATGAAGATAATGTAGAGAGGCTGTAAAAAGAAGAGAAGACAGAATAACTGCAAACAAAAGGGAAAGGATTAGAGACTTGGGCCACTACCAGGCTTGTAGGTCTGTAAAGGTTCACATACAAATATTCATGCTATTTCTGAACAACATTTTTTAACTTCTGGAAGAAGAATCATCCAGTTAGCACAATAAACTGCTTCCTTGCAAGGCTAGCAATTACAAGAGGACAGCAATCCACACATGGCTGTCCTGCCTCCGAAACCTGATCCGCTACTGTGCCACAGAGCCCCAAGAACCTGATGAAGGACAAGTCAAAGGAGCAGTGTGCTTTTCACTCAGAGCATGAATAAGAAATGGGAATCTAAGTCTGGAAAATTTCCCAGTAGGAGCAGGAAGCAGTCCCCTGGTTGTCCTTCACATCAGAACAAATGACATTGAGAGGATGCTGCTGGAGTTGATTGAGGGTGACTATGCCATGATGGGGAAGACTCTGAAAGGTGTGGGTGCCTACATGTTCAGTGAAATAGCTCTGGGCCCTACCAAACAGGTGATAGGGAAGGTCATCAGACAGCTAAGATTTGAAGAAAATTAGTGAAAGTTTGGGCATCGGTGTGTGTTTCTGAAGAGGTTATCTCAATAGGTAATTTCTGCCCAAGGACTTGCAGTACTACTGCAAACAGTGGTGTTGGCCTAATTTTTTAAGAGGAGCCTTAAAGAAATACCAGGAGAAGGCTGGAGAGCACTTGTGAAGTCTCAAGGCTCTGCCTGAGTACATGGTAAATTGAGTAACCAGACAAATCTGGTCGTGTAGTGCAGAAGGGAATGTTACAAAGTAGACCCATGGATGGCAAAGGGAAAAAGTAGGTGAACAGGCAAGATTTCACTGAAAGCATGAGTAGGAAGGAGAAGACAGAAAGTTGGATATGCAAACGCATCAAGATTATGCAGCAAAGTGAAGGACCTTGAGCTACTGATACAGGATATGAGCCAGTGCATTGGGACAGTAGATCTGTCCTGCAGTTGCGGTCATGAATAGTCTAAAACCAGTGGCAGCTTTTCAGGAAAAGGCAGGGAGCAGCCGTATGTGTTAATGACAGCACAGCTCACAGTTTGGTAAAAGATTATCACTGCCAGCATGCCATATGCCACAAGGATCCTTTTTCACTGCCAAGAGAATTTTGTAATGTTATTAGAGAGATAATTACTACTACAATAATTGTTTTGGGTAATTTAACACCAGGAATCAGGTTGGAGAGCAATTGATACTGTTATTGGTAAGTCTGAGATATTCTTGCATTTCTAGGCAGTAAAAATATCCTTCAGAAGAGATTCAGTAGTGTGACAGGAAATGGTGTGATTTTAGGCTTGGCTTTGGTAAGTCATGAGGACATTAAAGGACATCTGATCACAGGAAACAGATTTGGATTCAGGGGTAACAAGTTCAATTTGTGCAAATTAAATGAAAAAGTAATTTGAGGTTGATCTGTAACAAACCTCGGTTTTATAAACCAAGTACTTAAGCAAAGCCAGTAGATTGAGAAACCCAGATGGTGTTGAAAGAGCAAGTATCAGAAGAAAGGACATTGCTAATGGAGTTCTCCAACAGTCATTTGATTTATTTATTCATTAATGACTTTGACACAAAAAGCAGGAGTCAGCTTAGAAAATTTAGTCAGAGCATATTTAGGAGGCATCAGTACACCAAAGACTCAGAAATACCATAGAGAAAAAACATAAAAACTGGAATAGTAGAAATGAGAAAAATATTACAGGAGGAACTCATCTGCTGTAAATTGGAATTTACCAACTGGAGGTGACTGAGGAAGATGAAGCCTGTTACACTAGTTGATTGCAAGGTACCTAATTATTAAAATGAACTAATACATGAAAATACGCCATAGTCACACTTCTGCAAGCTTACCAGCTTTTTTCCAAGGATCAGATACAACAGAATGATTACTCTTTCTGCCAGAACTTCTGCTTTTCAGCATAGGGAAAATTTTATTTCATTTAGCAACTGCTGAGTGCTACTGTCTATCAGTAAAGAGGCAAAGGGAGGTGTTGGAAGAGTGTGAACAGGTTTTGTGGTAAATAGAGGTGTACCATTACCAGGACCTCCTTTCAGCAAGTGCTTGCGCCTAGTGAATACTCAGTGCTGACCACAATATGCTTATGAAGGTAATAGCTTATGAAGGTAATAGTGGGTGAAAACTACCTGCTTAATAGGAATTGTCTTGAAAGTCTGACGAGCATCTTCCTGCCTTGTCTCCAGTGAGAAGTCTGCTCAAACACATCTCTCTCTGCCTGTGGAAACAACATGCCTCTTTAATTAGGTGAACACAAATCTAGTGGTATTTGGATTGACTCTCTCCTCTTAGCCTTACCCAGATAAATTGTAGGTTACCTGGGGCAAAACAAGACTAATGGTATTGTGTGTAGCCAGTGTAATATGCCTTTAATCCACATAAGCTCCTGCTGCTGTTCTTAAAATCTGCCCAGCCTTTACAATTTTCGAGCAGTTTAATGTCCCGCATCTTCCAGCTCTGGCCTCTGTTCCCCCAACTAGATTTTTGTGTCTCTGCTGCATTAAACTTGTCAAGATCTTGATTAGTTTTTTTATTGTCTAGAGAAAGTTAAGGTAGTACATAAATGTTTAATAGCTTAGCTGGCAGAGCCATTGTTGGGGATGGTAGCGACTAGGGTTTTAATCCTGTTGCAGGTTTTCCATACCGAATAGCGGCATTTTTCACTGTTAAATCAGAATCAATTGTTCAAATGTCAAGTGCTCTGATGGAAGGTTGATAAATGTCATTTTTCACTCTGTGAAGATTCATATATAAATCTGTCATATGTGCTTGCTGGAAGTTTGGTTCCAGTGAGCTCAATTAAATACCAACCCAGCATGAATACAGCTTTTGCTTCCAGAGGCTGCGGTGACTGAAGTGTGACAGAAGGAGTGTGCTGTGCTGCACATGCTGAACACAGATTTATCCTGCTGCTTGGATGGTCTTTTCCTTGGTTGTTTCTCCCCATACGTTTGGTGGTGTGTTTGCTTGGGGGGTCAGTTAGACACAAGAAAAACTTCACAGGTGGCTTGTATTTCTAGTGACTTCATAAAGGTTACACCTGGTTTGTAAGCGGAGCAGTAAAACATTTAGCTTTCCTGTGGGGCCACATCAAAAAAAGAGGCTAACCTCACACAAAGGGGAATAACATCTCCCATAATCTTAAACCTTTATTGATATTATAGTCATATTAATTACGTATTTCTTACTTTTCCAACACTCCCACTTTATCTTTGTGTCTGGAACTTCAAGGCTCAGCCATGCTTCTTTCATTCTTTCAAATCACTTGGTAAGGAGGCTCCCGACAGCACTGGATGGGGCTGGGTGTTCATTAGTGCTTAGGGGATGTCTCCAGCACATCATTATTAGGATGCGTATTCAAATGGAACACACACTGCAAGTCTTTTGAAAACAGAAGAGAGCTGTGATAAGGAGAGAGGGAGGAACAGAATAATCCCCAAGTGTAAATCCCAGGGGCTGTGTATCCACTGAAAGGCAACAGATCCTCATGGGATCCCTGGAAGACAAGGTATTATGCTAATGAAGCTCATGCCATCTGTTTTTCTGGTTTGCATTTTTTATTTCCCTTCCCCATCCAAACAGTCTGTCTGTCTTACCTAGCAGCCAATGATGTTACAGTTTGTGTTAAAACAGAATGGGCAAAGTGGCAGTTGGTTGAAGTGCTTCAGAACAAGCTACAGTTGCAATGAGGGGTTGTGGCAGTGGCATCTTCATCAGCACATCCAGCCCACTGGGAGCTTGGTGGTACATCTCCTGCATCCCTGTCTGCAGATGAACATATGGGAGAGAGGCAAACAGAGACACTCGTGGCAGCCTCTGTGATACCTGTTGCCTTAGATGTAAGCATGTCCTCTCCTTGGACTAGGTAGAGAGTAAGGCACTGTTTCTGGAAGATTGCTCAGTGGGGCGCCTAAAAGTGTGTGAAAAATAGGTGTCTAAGCTAGGCAAGCTGAGTCTTACCTTAAGACTGAGTGAGCTACATGCATGTGAGGTCTCCTGCCATATGACCAAGAGGAAGCCTAGTTCGTATTGATGAAGGCTTCGAAGTGTTGTTTATGGGGTTTGTTTTAGATTTTCTTTGGAAAGCTTCTTATAAAAAAATTTATCTGAATTGCAAATGTAGCCAATAATCTTCCTGCTTTCCTAGCTACTGTTTTATTCCCCTCCCAGTTTAGATCTCATGCTTGAATTTATCTTAGTACCAGAAAGCGCAGTGTCTGATACTAGTGAGCCCCATAGGGAGGAGCAGGTGTCACAAAGTTGCCTTTTGTATAAACTGATGTAGCTCAAGTATATAATGTACAGCCTAATCAGAAACTTTTCTTGCTTCAAGGGGCAGGAAGATGCTGTAACACCAACAGAGCAGAGGTATTTCATTAATTAATAGGATACTAACACTTTGCTCCTGTCAGCTGCTTTGCAAGATGTTGGTTTTTTTCTCTAGGAGACAGTGCAGATCTCTCTTAGAACAGGTCAGCCACAGCCCAGCTACTGCTGAGAAGGAACTTCTCACTGGGAGCCTGGACCTCTTGGTAGGGTAAGCATAAAAGCCTCCTGAGTCACCCCAGTGCGGCCTTTTGGCTTTCTGTATGACAAGAAGGAGATGAGAGCAATAGTGGAGCCTGAGACAA